ACCACACATCTGGACACCACCCGCTATGATGTCATCCAGACAACGATTTACACGGACGCACACAGCTACGGGAGGAAAGCAAAGCACCTCAGTTATGTGTTTAGTTTCAAAAGGGTCAGTGTTGATGTTCAGCTGGAGATTAGATTACTGACAAAGTAAACCAGCAATAATCTGGATTAAATAAAACTTCGTGTGTGTGGAATGACTAAATAAGCTGCATTCCCAACGACACAGCTCAGAGTGACTCGGCTGGGTGCGCTTTGTTCTCACAGCCTGTTGCAAATCCACGCTTCCCAACTTTCCCAACTTTTCAGGCCCTTTTCCGAGGTGGCTGCTAGCCCCAGTCCAGAACATGATGTCAGGGTCATTCGGTCACTAATCGGCTGGAGAAGGAGTATTCAGTCCTGGTCCTGGAAGGCCGCTATCCAGCAGGTTGTAGTTTTAACCTGCTTCAGCACACCTGATTTCAGTCAGCAGGTGATTAACAGGCTTCTGCAGGGCCTGATGAGCTGCTGAACAGCTGATTCATCCACTGAATCTAGTGTGTTGGGGCAGAGAAACCACTAAAACGTGCTGGACACCGGCCATCCAGGCCTGGAAGTGAATACCATTGGGCTAGGGGGTGGAGTCACTGGTTGTTCCCAAGGGGGGATCTACATCTCTGCCTGTGACTCATCCCGGTGAGGAGCGGTGAGCTGCAGCTGTGCTAGCTGGTGGTTTAACCCCCAAGCCGGGAGGCGTTGGCTCCCATTGTTAAGGTCTTTGGTATGACATGACCGGATCTGACCCTCGGTCTCCCAGTCTCAGCTCGGACGCTCCAACACTAAATTTAGATGCAACAAGCGCTTTAATGGGCTTTCCTTTTCATTGACAGACAGCAGATACACCGTCAGCACTAGCAGCTAGCAGCCAGCCTCCCTGTTTCTCCAGGGACGGCTTCAGCCTCGGCTCAACAGTAAAAGAAGAAGAAGAAGGAAGAGGGTAGCAGAGTCGCTCAACCAAGCAACCCTCAGGTCATCTCAGTCAGCGCACAGCTACATCAGGTCTGATGAGTGTCAATCTTCTGCCTACCCCATCTACATATAAACATTGGACAATGGGTTTCCATAGGCTCCAATATCACGTTTTTGAAGATAAATGGGAGGTGGCCACCACCGCCATTTTGACCGTGTCACAGGTTCCGTCAAGCCCAGACAATTCCATAAAAGGGAAGAGAGGTGGAGCTGAGGGTGGGGCTGTAAGGCTGGGACCAACTGACGACACCCGGTCGAACTAGCTACAAGCTAACCTGTAGCTAACCCAAAGCTAACACGGAGGTGGGAGCTAAGCTATCGGAGGTAGAAACCTAGCTACAACTGGAGTTAACTGTGCTCAACACCAGAGCTTCTGAGTCAGAGACACGCCGGGCTGACCGCTGGGTAAAACCGGGTGGAACACAGAGGTCTCCCGAAAGCTGCTGAAAGCCGGCAGCTCGCGCAGAAGACAGAAGCCGCGATCAGACAGAGATGCGCCGAGCTGCTGCTGGGGAGAACCGGGTGGAAAGCCTGCTCGCGTTTCCAGGCTCGGTGTGACGACAAGCCGGAGATGGAGCACCACTGTTGTTGAAATGAGTTGTGTTGTGTCTGTGTGGCACACAGATCTCCCCACGCCATGTTTCTCCTGGGTAAAGGTCGCACGTGCCGCCCTGCACATCATAGCAAGGCCATCCACTGTTTGTGCCAGAGCTGCAGGAAAACCCATCAGTGGCTGTGCTAACCCCCGCTGCACCGAGCCGCTTCAGTCTGAGTAGTGCTGCTGGGTTAAGGGCTGTGAACTAGTTAAACCCACTCTGACTGCATGCTTCTGGACTTTGACTAACTCCAGCCTGTAACAAAAGGTACTTTTATGGTATAATAAACCCACCTTGGTGACCATTGGAGTCCTTGAACACTTTATCCAGCTGTAAACCTGGATCAATGCAAACTGAGCGAATTCTGGTTGGCAAACGCAAATTTCGCCCTGGTAGCCCTACCACAATCATTTGCAGCATGGTGTCTAAAAAGGTCACCCAGTTTCCTGTCCACTCCAGCTTCCCACTGTCTCCTGGAAACAGATTAAGGATACAGGTTAGTATAGTACACAGGTTAGTATAGTACACAGGTTAGTATAGTACACAGGTTAGTATAGTACACATGTTAGTATAGTACACAGGTTAGTATAGTACACAGGTTAGTATAGTACACAGGTTAGTATAGTACACAGGCAGGTATAGTACACAGGTTAGTATAGTACACAGGTTAGTATAGTACACATGTTAGTATAGTACACAGGTTAGTATAGTACACATGTTAGTATAGTACACAGGTTAGTATAGTACACAGGTTAGTATAGTACACATGTTAGTATAGTACACAGGTTAGTATAGTACACAGGTTAGTATAGTACACAGGTTAGTATAGTACACAGGTTAGTATAGTACACAGGTTAGTATAGTACACATGTTAGTATAGTACACAGGTTAGTATAGTACACAGGTTAGTATAGTACAGGGCTGCAACAAACGATTATTTGGATAATCGATGAATCGGATGGGGTCTCGACACGATTAATCGATTAATCGGATTACATGGGGAAATTTTTAAAAACTGCTAGGGAAACGTTATTTCTCTCCTTCCTTCACTTTATTTAACACAACATTATTAGAAAACAGTTCAATAGCAGAAAAACAACATGCCATCACCTAAATTGTCTTATAAGGTGTATAGACAGAGACCCTAAGCTACATCTATCTGTGACCTAAAATGCTTGGTCCAAGTTAAACAGCTTAAGGGCAATTCTCATCTGTTTTGTTTGATCTCATCTGTTGACATTTATTTTAAATGTAATTAAACATAGGCTGTGAATTAATCAAAATTGATCACTATTTCCAAAAATGACTGAAAAAATACCAAATAAAACAAAAGTAAATGAATGCCATCCTCCTTGCGATGATGCCCTGGGCAACTGCCATAAAGTCACATCAAGAAATGCTGCTGATCATTCCAATGATCCCAAATAGACTCACATTAGGCCACATGAAAGCAACTGAACCCAAAAATATATTAACCAGTATATAACTGCACTCTCACACAACACGCCTGCAGCAACAGTTAGGACTCCTCCCTCCCTTTTAAAAGCGTTTTTGCTTCCGAGGACATTGTGGTTGTAAAACCACATGCTAGTAGTCTGGCCCCGGTGTGATCAACCAGTTTCTGCGGGAATGTGACGGCGGAACCAGGGCCAGATTAACACTTTGTTGTACCCTGGGCAACAATATTCAAGGGCTCCATCATCACGACCCGAGGATCACCATAATGTGGTCACATACAGAATATTTTACTGTAATATGCAGTAAATATACTCAATACTTGAATGCCTGACAACACGTAACCCGCCCAGAGTAACCTTTGACCCACCTCGTGTGGACTGACCAATGAGGAGAGGGTCTTAACTTGAGGCCCTCTCTTCATTGGTCAGTCTGCATGAGACTGACTCTCAACTGACGTTCAGTCGTAGGCAGCGAAGCGTCTCTGTGCAGCGCAAAAGCCCGGGTGGACAGTTTGTTTAATATAGGGTGACCATATTTCCATTTCCAAACAAGAGGACAGGGATCTGTGCCTATGACGTCACACTATGGCAACGCCACACAAACCATGTTGGGACCCATTTTTTGTAAGAACTAAATTAATATCAGATTCTGCCAATTAAAGGGCTCTAAAACAATTCATATGTAACTATTTAGCATTTTTATTGCAAAATCTCATTTTTATGCTTTAGTGCTGCAACAAGGTTTTATTAATAATAAATTATTATACCTTTTGTTTTACTACAGCATCGGTAAGCTTCCTGTGCACAGATTATTAAGGATGCTTGTTTCAGCTGTGAGATTAGACGATAGGATCAATGAAAAAATAAGTTGTCCCACACTCCATGGAAACTTTCAGAGAATCCACAAATAGTGGCTTTCAAATGGTTTTGTTACTTTTTGCAAGTTTATAAAAGAAGCAGATGAGACAGCATGTCTGATAATTTAGTTTTTCATCTGATAATATTAGAACATGTCAGTAATGTCTGAGGGGCTTTTATAAACACCATATAACTAACACTCCTGGAGAGGGCATGAATTACACAGAGGCTTCTGGGGAGCCCAGTTATGGGGGGGGGGGGGGGGGGGCATTTTGCCTTGGCCCCCAAAATGTCTTGAAACGGCCCTGGGTGTGTGACTGAGTTTTGAAGGTGATCTGAATTGTATCAGATGTATAACTATGACATGTGTATAACTTATTGTTTTTTACTGGTAAAAACGTGTAGTGGAGATAAATCTACCTACATTTTACTTTGTTTTCTTGTTTTTATTTAACTATTTCCTGTCCTGTCTGTCTCTCATCTTCCTGCATCTCCTCATAATTCTCCAGAAAATCTGTTGCCTGGATTCTTACTTTTTCACCTCATCAGTTACTTTTGAGCAGATCAAAGATCTCCTGACCGCAAAGCGGAGAGCGCGTTTTCGATGCTGCGTGAGGTAACATCACCGCAGCACAGGTGATGAGCTCCGCAGCAGAGCGCTTCAGGCACAAATAAGACAGAAAATAGAGAACATGTGCAGACAAGAACGATCGTGTGCTAATTATAGTTTTTTTGGTTGCGCCACTTTGAGAATGGACCGTGCGCTGGAAGCAGCTGCCTGGATCGCTGTGCAACAATGCGGAACCGGTTCGCAGCAGCGCAAGTCTGCCGGCTCTCCCTCACGCTGATCTGCCTTGCTCTGGTCTGCGCGCAACGGTGGGCGGGGGGGGGGGGGGGGGGGGGGGGGGGCGCTTTTGGAAGAGTTGTGCGACACAACGAATCGATGACGCAATTCGTTGCCAACGCTTTTAGTAATCGATTTTCATCGAATTCATCGATTCGTTGTTGCAGCCCTAGTATAGTACACAGGTTAGTATAGTACACAGGTTATTATAGTACACAGGCAGGTATAGTACACAGGCAGGTATAGTACACAGGTTAGTATAGTACACAGGTTAGTATAGTACACAGGTTAGTATAGTACACAGGTTAGTATAGTACACAGGTTAGTATAGTACACAGGCAGGTATAGTACACAGGTTAGTATAGTACACAGGTTAGTATAGTACACAGGCAGGTATAGTACAGACAAAACAAACAGCATTACTACCAGCCTCCTCTTTAGCTAGCTCACAGCTACCAAGAGCAGGAGTCTGTAGTTCCCAACCTGGGGTCCACAACCCTCCAAGGGGGTCCCCATAATTTAGCCGGTGCTGAGGTTGTGGGGTTATTTTTGTAAAAGTCAGTGTGTCTATAAAGTTTGTATTTTAAAACCTTTATTATATTTAAGCGAGTGGGCGTTGGGTTGGGGTCCCGGCTTGTCCTGGACAAAGGAAATTCTGGTCCTGCCTTGTGGCGGTATTGAACTGTTGAAGCTCCGCCACAAGCCAGCTTACCCTGAAGCTCACACGGTGAACGCCCCTACACGTCTGATCGACCGGTAAATCGAGAGCTTCGCCTTCTGGCTCAGCTCCTTCTTCACCAGAACAAACCGGTACAACGCCCGCTTCACTGCAGATGCAGCACCAACCCGCCTATCGATGTCCCGCTCCAGCTGCACACATTCCCTACAGTTTTCATGGTTATTAGTGATTACTAATCAATCTATACACTTTATCAATATCCTTTTATTACACTGTCCAGCCCTATGTTGGATGTGAACGTCGGACCATGTTAGATGAGCAATAGTTTGAACATCACAGTCGTCATGGAGTAGGCATGGGTGAGAGTCATACTGTATAAAACACCACACGCTACACATCAGTCTACCTGCTCTGTTGGACTCCAGGATGCCTTGGAAAGCCTTCCCGTAGTCATAGCCACGAAGTCGCAGCTCTTTGTAGACATCGTGTGCGTCGAGTTTCAGTTCAGAGTCCCGGTTCTGGGCAGCGTGCCGACTTTTATTATCACGAAGAGAATGAAGGGCTGTGTCCTCAAGGATGCTCATCTTACCTGAAATTACACAAGGTGCACAAGACCCACGTGACTTTGGCACCAAAACAATAAAAACACTTTCAGTGTGAAGACTACCCACCACTGACAACCAAGTTTCCATTCTCTGAAACCTCAAACTTGTTGGTGGCAGGCATGAAGTGCACTTCCAACTGGATGGAACCTGCCAGGAATGAGGCAGTGAGGATAGGAAACGGGTCAGAAGGTCACTAGAAGGTGTGTAATCGTCAGACCTTCATTGTGAGCCCTTCTTACCAGACTTTGGCAGGATCGTAGCCCTGTGGATCATCACATCCTCAAAGTTAATCGGAGTTGTGTTCATCGCTGCTCCACAACTTCTCAACAAGGTACGCCATGCCAGTACGAGATACCCTGTTGCTGGGTAGAGAACGCGCCCATCGATGCAGTGGTCGATGAGATAGTTGTCTTCTGATTCTGGGTTTATCTCTGTCATTCCACAAAGGACACCAGTAATGACAAGGGCGGGATCTTTAGAACACAACCTTCACAGATAGTCTGGGTTTGGTCTCATTACCAATGGTGTAGACGCTAGAGTTGGATCCTCCTGAGCCGTGGAGAAAATGTTCTGCTTTAGGGATGTCCCAGGTTTGTGTGTGGTCCCACTGCACTAACGGGGAGATCAGAGGGCTACCAACTGGGACAGGGTAGGTTACTGCTGGGCAGAGGCAGTTACAGTCCAGGTTGATGCTGGAAGAGTGTGAGGGAAAGATTTATCATCCTGCTTTAGTAAGCGTGAATGGAGACAAACGTTTACATGAAATCAAGTCTTTACTAACCCATTCATGTAGATCTTCCCGACGTTCGAGAGGAAGAACTCCAGATTGTTGGTGTGACCTCTCTTCATCAAAGGCAGAATGGAGCATGACGGCTTCAGGCTGCGTTTAAGGATGGCCTGAACATGGAAACAGAACGCCACTCAGAGCTACCGCTTTGCTGCTTCTGGTGGCCCCATGCCTTAGGAACCCTACACTCTGTTTCCAAAGACCAGGCCATCAGCTCAGGAGCTCAACAAGAACAAATCTAAGCATCTGTCTTGGTGTCCGTCATAGTCAACTTCTTTTGAAGGATAAAGGCTTTTCTTATCATGTCTTTCTTCTCAGACTAGTTGGTGCTAGCGTGTAAGCTGGCCTGTATCTGACAGCGTCTTCCAGGGCTCTAGACCTGGGGGGTTCATTCATCCACCCAAGCACACACTGACTCACTGCAAGTGATAAGCTACCAAGTACCTGTAGCAGGGCATGAGGCGCTATCTCCACCACCACAGCATTGTCAGGCACCAGACTGAGGGCTTCTTGGAACAGAACTGGGCTCAGCAGGTTGTTGACATGGTACTCAGCTGAGCTGCAGACAGCCAGAGGAGAGGTCCACTCAGACTGAGGGATGCTCGTGCTCACCCAGCGAGATGAGCGCTGCCGGGGTTCCCTGATCACCTGAATGTGAGATGATGGAGGACCACTAGTTTTACCACCAACAATGACCTACACAGTTTATGTATCATCAGTCAGAAACTAGAAAACTAAATGTCAACAACTCAATAACAAAGGGAACAGATGAAACGTGTTGAGCATGTCTTCCAAAGCAGCTTCAGCGTAGCACGTACCTTCTTCAGAGCAGCCAGAAGGGTTGGAGCAATGGAGGCCATGTAGTAGGAGTGAAACGCAACGCCGGCGCTACGCACCGCCTTCGCAAACACTCCTTGGCTTTTCAGCTCTGATACAAAGGCCCTGACAGCCTCCTGGAGACACACACACACACACACACACACACGTTAGAAGATCCCACCTTTCTAAGAGTTTCGGTGTCTGTGTGAACCAAATCATGTCAGCAGGGTTCCAGCTGCACACAGTCCGAGGGAGCCCCGTTGGACAGGCGTAGGGCGTGGAGCTTCCTGACCGATCACCTCCATCAGGGCCGGATCATGATAGCAGGGGCCCTTGGGCACGAAAGGCCCCCCGGCAGACAACACACTGCTCGCTTGGCACGCTGCCAGTTTAATTTAATTAAAGAGGCAGTGTGTGTGTGTGTGTGTGTGTGTGTGTGTGTGCGCGCGTGTGCGTGTGCGCTGCTGTACAGTCACTGAGATAAGCCACATAAAAAAACACACCCTAACCTCTAGACGGCGCTGCAGCGGACAGCTCGAGGGTAATTGCTTTCAGGTACACAACCTAGGGATTAGTTGGGGTTAGGGTTTGATTCTCATGCCACACAACATGTCTGGTTTGGTTCAAATGCAAAAAAGTGTTTGGAGTTGGGTAAAGCCCTCCCTCAGTAGAGATAAATGCACTGGGGGCGAATGGGGACCCATCCAAGATGGCAGCCCACTGCTACGCCAGCTCCAGTGGGCAGCTCAGTTCACGGGGCGTCCATATATGTTGTCTGTGGGTCTAGCCACGCTCTTATTGGCCTAATGGACGTGGAGGCTGAAGAATCCAAAACTCCCCCAGATTAAACACTGACGGAGGCTGAAAGTCTCTCTCCCCAGTCCAGGTTGGGCCGTGACGCGCTCGGTTAGCGTGTGACCTGGGCAAGTCCATGGAACCTTCATGGACTCGGAGCGTTCTCCACACCTCTGATCTGTGGGGACTGAACATCACTAGATACTGCATGCTCTCTTGGCTGCTAGAGGGTCCCCCCACACCTGTTGTGGATTGAGTCTGTGCCTGTGTCACTCCCTTTACCTCTTCCTGTCCATCATTCTCCTGCCTTTCCCACCTGCTCCCCCCACCTCACACCTTTAGTTTCACCATGGCCGACCACTTTTTGTGATCTACCTCATTGATATTCTGTATGTGTAAGGTCACTAAATCCAAAGCAGACTAGAACACCAAGTCATTCCTTCTTACCTACTAGAGTATTGCATTTGTTTTAGTCCATTCTACCAGTTTCTGCTGCTTGAGTTCCTTACACCTTTACCGTAATCAGTCTTCTCACATACGTAGTCATTCCTGGCTGGCGCAATGCGCGCTCATCACGAGCTCGCTCCCGCAGCGCTCTGGTTTTGGTTTAATGTGAGCCACAGATCTAAGTTGTGTTTATTTATGAAAACTGTAGAATCGAGTCGCACTAATGAGCTGCATGAGCCAGCTCTGGTGTCACAATGAGAGGTTCAGTCATGACCCTCTGTAGATCACCTGCTGCTGATGAGAGGAGTTCTCCTGTCAGGAACCGGTGAGCTGCTGCCAACCCTAACCCAACCAGCTGCTGTTCCTAGAAACACGCTCTAGCCAGACTGTAGTGGCCTGTTATTTATAGTTTTATAATTAATATTAAGTGAACACACTAAACCCACAGCTGATGGAAGAATCTGATTAAATAAGCCAGAATATTTTCTCCCACCGCTCAGCTCTGTTAGAAATAAGCAGACGTCTGCTTCAGCTGGACAACATCCAGTAGAAACGTGTTCACAGATAACTGATCTTTGATGAAGAAACAACATTAATCATTTTAACATTTCTAAGGTCTGGATGTGTGAACATGACTGAATGTTCTGACTGGTGTAAATAATACAGGATATTATTAACAACAGGTCTGGATGTGGTTTGGTCTGAGGTCTAAAACTCTGCCCTGGGCCTGAAGCCCTGCAGATACATTTCATTTCTATAAACAACAACAACAACAAATAAACAACAGCAGCTGGATTCGACTTTGCTGCTTAAGTTGAGTCACGTAGTTTAACAGTTCTGCACACTCACACGTTCACCAGCAGCTCTGCCAGCTGATTGGTTCTTTAGTAACTAGTGACATCATACAGTTGCAACGGGCAGTTTTTAGGTACAGTTTGACCCTTCTGGTCAAAATGGAGACACGAGACTGCATGTGTTCCCTTTAATCTGCCGGCCTTCATCCCATCAGCTGGAGCTCCGAGCCTCTCTGCAGCTCTGAACACACGATAACGTACTGTCAACAATGACGTTCCCTCCTCAAGGTCCATCCTTATCGTCCTACAGGACTCTTCATGCCTCTGAATAAGGAACACTCGCAGCTCGGATCAGTTGCTAAATCAAAGAATGATTTCTTAAATTAAATATGAACTTTAAAAACTTATAAGTTAAATAATCATTAAATAAACATTTGTTTATTGCTACTTATAATAATTATAGTATAATGAAATGCTTTCATTAATCTGTGCTCAGTGATTGAAGTCTGAAATGAGTGTTATGTTACGATTACATTGAAAGGTTTATATATGTTCCAGCATGTCGATATGACGAGGTCATCACCATCCACACTCACACAAGGACAAAGTTGAGTCAAACGCGTGACACACAGATAGTCCGTTACCCCAGATCAGAGCATCCGGTATCAAGGAAGGTGTGTTTCTGAGGTTGTCTTGGTAATATTCCTTAACATGTCAACCTCTGGTTGGCTACACAAATCATAACATGAGAACATTAAAACTGGATCACTCTGGTGATTCAGCAGTTCTGAAGCAAAGACCTCTTTAACCATCAAAGCTTTTGACACGTCGTCAAAATCTTTTTGCACCTGCGACGCTGATACCGCAACGGTTCCTGTAGAACAAGCTGATAGTGTTACGACTCCTTAAGAGTCCCCGACGTGCGGTTCCATCCATCTGTCGTGACCCGAGACATCTCTGGACTGAAGAGTCGATGCTACAGTATTCTACAGCCCTCCGGTGCCAGAGGTCATCCGACCTCACTGACCTTCGGATCCACGAAGAGGGTCTCCGAGAGCGGGTGAAGTAGACACACAGATAGCGTCTGATGTGCTTTTGATAACAATCAACTTCTTAGCTTAACACAAACCAATTCTTTTACACCCAGAACTCAGCTCTCCTAGACACGGAAGTTCTGATAACCATATTCACACATAGGCACCACACACTACACCTAGTCCATCTAGATCCATCCATCACAGTAATATTAGTTAACCTGTCATGTTTTAATTGTTTGTGAAATCAATTCTTACTTTTATAAACCCGACTCTTTCCTGAATCAAAACAAAATGTGTACAATCTCTGAATAAACAAAGAATCCTAGAATCTTCTGATTAAACACAGTAAAGACCAAGCAGGGTGATATTCTATATTATATAGAGTATCACAGCTTATTCCATACTTTATAAGAGCTTGTTACGCCGCTGTATATATTTGCATATATAGGATAACTTACCAGGATAGGTTTTATCAAATCCAAACGTCTTATTTCTGGGTTCAACTAGGTAACTTGTATTTAATAAAAATTACATCTCAATGGTGCCAATAGTAATATTTGATATTAATGTGCCTATAGTTACCTGAGACTTTAAAACAATGACTATACCACCTCTGGATTCAGACACAAACCAAGTTTTTCTGTGGGGTACCCCAAGGCTCTGTCTTGGGTCCAGTCTTGTTCCTATTATATATCCCCTCTTGGATAATTGACTATTTTTATGATGTTTCCTATCACCTATATGTAGATGACAGTCAGCTGTACTGCTTCTTTAAAGAGTGCCTGCTGAGTACTCCTGCACAATACGTTATTCTAATGGAAACCACCTACTGACAAGAAAGTGAAATAATTATTTTTAGATCGGTTTGATCATCCAGGTTGTGGAATCCAGAAAACAGAAATAAGGGAAGACCAACCTCAGGGCCTGAGATGGTGACTGAGTCTTCAGCATTGTGACAGGCTGGAACGACTCCTTGTGGACACTGAAGTTTGCACTCCTCCCAGGTCAGACCTAGAAAATACCAAAACAAAACATCTGTAAATAAAATCAGATTCCATGGTTGTTCTGAATGTTTTCTCTTAAATGTTCAAGTCTCGTGGAAAACAAACTACGAATGTTTGATGAAAAATAGATTTCATCACAAAGCAGAAATCCGGAGATTTCTGTTACCCCCAAATTCCACTACCTCCGCTCCGCTCCGGTCCGCCCCCGCCCTCCGCAGCCGCTCGCTTCCGAACTCAATTTTTACTGGTACCCGCTCTACAACGGCTCCGCTCCGGTGCGGAGACCTGAGGGGGGCAAACAAGCATGCGCGGGATTTTCGAGATCTTGCGATACAGTCCGAGCAATAAACGCGGAAGTTAGATCCAAACACCCGTTGTGTGGGAGAAGCATCGACATGAACTGTTTAATCTGCCCATCATTTGTGTTGAGAGATCAGCAGTGTTTGGATCAACACAGGGTGACTACTTTGATAGTGGAAACTGTATTCATGGCTTACTTTTGTGCATTTAAACTTCAGCCGCCACTGATAGTTGTTAAAAGTTGTTAAACCTGTGCATATGAAACAAAAAACGCCTTTTGTTATCGATTTATTGTGAAAAACGGAAGTTGTGCTCGCTCCTTTTCCTGTTGGGCGGTGGTGATTTCTGTCTATTTACTGCGGAGGTGCTCCGGCGTCCGGCAAAAATAGGATCGATTCTATTTTTGCCAGACGCCGGAACAGAGGGCGGCGCACGGCGCCGCACTGCCGGAGCTCGGCCGCAGTAGTGGAATTGCTCTGATTGACTACAAAGGGACCCATTTTGCTCCGGCGGTCGTGTCGGAGCGGAGCGGAGGTAGTGGAATTTGGGGGTTAGACAGACCTTTAGATGAGAAATAATATATCGCACCTTAAGCCACTCTCCCCACTTCCATGATTACGGCTGGAAACAATGCCTCTCATTTGTGAACGCGCCTCCACCCAGCCAACAGAGATGAAACACATTGTGTTACCATTTCCAGCTTATGTTGGGAATGGAAAAAACCAACAAGACTGGCTATGGATAGCAACTCAAGAATGGAACCATGACCAGCCACCTCCCTGTACATGGATGACATAAAGCTGTATACCAAGAGCGAGCGGGACATCAACTTACTGGTCCACACCACCAGGATCTACAGCACTGATATCACAGTGTCATTCAGACTTGAGAAGTGTGGTCGGATGGTGACAAAAAAGGGAAGGTAGTCCACACAGAAGGGGTCTCACTCCCAGAAGGAACAATAGCAGACATTGAGGACAGCAACAAGTACCTTGGTATCCCTCAAGAAATGGCAATCTCAATGAAACCATAAGAAAAGGAGCCAATGCCAAATGCCTACAACGAGTAAGGCAAGTCCTAAAAAGTCAGCTCAGTGGCAAGAACAAGATCTGGGTAACAAACAGCTACGCCCTGCCAGTAATCAGGTATCCTGCAGGAATAATATGCTGGCCAATACAGACCGCAGATGTTAAGACACAGAAGGTCCTAACCATGCATGGAGGGTTCCATCCCAAGTCCAGCACCCTGAGACTGTACACTAGCCGTAAGGAAGGAGGCCAAGGACTAGTGAGTGAGAGCCACTGTCCAGGATGAAACATCTAAGATCCATAAGTACCTCAAGGACAAGACCCAAACAGATGATGTGCTCAGTGAAAGTCTCAGACAACGGCGAACAGAGGAGGAAACACTGGATATACCATCGTGGGAGGACAACCCCTATATGGGATGTACCACCGACAGATAACTGAAGTGGCGGATATGAAGAACTCCTACCAATGGCTAGAAAGAGCTGGTCTGAAGGAGAGCACAGAGACTCATCATGGCTGAACAGGAACAGGCCCTGAACACCAGAGCAACAGAGACCAAGATCTACCACACCAAGCAGAGAGGCCCCTGGGAAGAATACGAATAATCCTACATTTCTTTCCAGTACAGTTGCCAAACTTACACAGAATCATAGCTCTGAACATCTATTCCCTTAGCCCTCGGCAGAAACGACTTTATGGTATTTTTCACGAGTAAAATTAATTCTATTAGAAACAAAATCATTAGCATCCTCCCTAATGCGATTTCTTCTTCCTCAGTAAGTGAGGCAATTTAGATTCACTAGCATAAATACAGTAAAGTTTATCTCTAACCATGTAGAATATTTACTAAGAAATCACAATGTAACCATAGAAACACTAGCGCGCGCGCGCGCGCGTGCGTGCGCGCGCGCGTGCGTGTGTGTGTGTGTGTGTGTGTGTGTGTGTGTGTGTGTGTGTGTGTGTGTGTGTGTGTGTGTGTGTGTGTGTGTGTGTGTGTGTGTGTGTGTGTGTGTGTGTGTGTGTGTGTGTGTGTGTCTGCTCTGTCTTCTCCATCCCCAGTGAGTCGTGGAGGATGGCTGCTTCTACTGAGCCAGGATTCTCTGGAGGTTTCTGCCTGTTAAAAGGGAGTTTTCCTCTCCACTGTCGCTGCATGCTTGCTTAGTATGAGGATTGCTGTAAAGACTCTGACACTAGTCAGTGACGATGCAACCTGCTGGGTTCCTTATATAGGAAACGTGTTACTGATTGGCTCTGGTCCTGATTTGGCGCTTTATAAATAAACTGAACTGAATTGAGACAATCCACCACATAACTGCAGGCTGTAAGACGCTGGCAGGGAAAGCATACATGGAACTGTAGCGACATGAATGGCCTCAGTTTTGACCCAAAGGTCACACTTCCCCAGCTAGGTCAACCTGTCCTGGCTGCACTTTTATTTACAGATTATCCATCACAGGAGGCAGAGTCAGCTGTAAACCATCTTTAATCTGACTGCTGTTCCGTCCGCAAGATGGACACTTCAAGATAAAAAAAAATCATTTTTAATAAACTCTTTTCACTGTCTTATTACAAGGTTCATAAATAATCATCATGGTTCATTATAAATGTATTTAATTACTGAAATGACTTATTATTCTTTGGTTAATAATAATAATGATTTATGATAATCAGTAATCTTTAACAGTGTAAAGAAGGTCATGTGCACTTATATTACCAACCGGACTTACGCTTCCGGTCGGTAACAAGATGGCGCCTGTGCTTGGCTCAGCCGCAGTCACCGGCCACTTTTTCAAACTTTTCTCCACTAACCTCCTCTCTTCCACCTTGCTCCTGTCTGCGATCCTCTTCAGTAGTGTCCCAGCTACCATCTCCTATGACCACCAGACTCTTTTGTCCTTCCGTTGGTTCACGATCGGCCAAGATGCACCGAGGACATACCTCCCTGTTTGTTTATGAGTGGCGCACTGGCCCGGAGCCAAATGATTCCCACCAGGATGCCTCCAGCGATGTTTATCCGGTCCCGGGAAAACGTCGCAGGAAAAGAGGTAAACGAGCAGGAATCCAGGTGAGAATAAGACTTCTCTTAAAGCGTAGTTTATCTAGTAAACATCGGCGTGATCTTCCAGCTTCTCTTCCTTTGTTTGGTGACATGAGCACCACTTCCACATTCCCGCCAGGCCGCGTTACAGCGCGGTTCATCCGTCCAAGTTTTTTAAGGTCGGTTTATCCTCATTCCTCAGTGGTTTCTCCTCCTGTTCCCTCCATAAGTGGTTTTTATAAACACCGTGGATCTAACCCTGCTAATTTACGTCCACTAACTCCAGCTGTTTCTGTAGTTTCTGATTCCTCCACCTCACTCAGCATGGCTCTATTAAATACCCGCTCTGTTAACAATAAGTCCTTCCTGCTCGATGATCTTATTCTCTCTAAAAACCTGGATTTTCTGTTTCTGACTGAAGTTTGGCAGCAAACATCTGATTATTCTGCTCTGATTGAACTCTGCCCGAGTGGTTATTCTTTTCTTAGCCAGCCCCGGGGTTCTGGTCGTGGTGGAGGCCTAGCTGTTGTTTTCAGAGACCATCTTCCATGTAGCTCTACAACCTCTGGTCACTTTGCTTCCTTTGAACTGCAGCTGATTAAAGTCGGGCGTAAGGACCCGTTCTACTGTGCTGTGGTCTATCGTCCACCTGGTCCAACCAGTTCTTTCCTTCAGGAGTTTAGTGACTTTCTATCCTCCACTGTGAAGCTGTCCAGACTGGTGATTGTTGGTGACTTTAACATCCACGTTGATGATCCCTCTGATCTCTTTGCCATGAATTTATCCAGCCTTATGGACTCCTCCGGCTTTACCCAGCATGTTTCTGGCCCCACACACACCAGGGGGCACACTCTAGACCTTGTTTTTACCCTGAGTCTAAATGCTGACAGTGTTTGTCCTGAGGACGTTTATATTTCAGATCACCATTGCATTTTCTTTAACTTGTCAGTTTCTGCGTCCCCACCTCCTGCTCGCCGTATGGTTAGTTCTCGTTTTCTTAATGAGAGCACAGCTAGCAATTTTTCTGCTGCTTTTGATCCACCCTGTTCTTCTGATAACGACCCAGATTCCTTAACTTCTCAGTTTAACGAGCACTGCCTCTCCATTCTGGACAACATCTGTCCTGTCAGAACCAGATCAGTTCCTGCAGTGAACCCTACTCCCTGGTTTAATGACAGGCTTCGCAGCCTGAAGCGCCAATGCAGAAAAATTGAGCGTTTGTGGAAGAAGACCCATCTCCACGTCCATCTGCTGCACCTAAAGGATCTTCTGACATCCTTTAACTCTGCAGTCAGAGACGTGAGGGTTTCCTATTTCTCCAACCTGGTGTCCCAGAGCAAAGGGAACCCCAAGGTGCTGTTTAACACCATCAGCAGCATCGTGTCTCCTGCCTCTCCTACAGCCTCCATCCACTCTGTTGCAGACTGTGAGAACTTTCTGTCTTTCTTTGTGGACAAAGTCAATAAGGTTAGATCTAGCATCTCTCCTTCAGCCTTATCGCCGCCTCTCCCGACTCCAACCAGGCCCATCATCCTAGATAGCTTTGCTCCTGTTTCTTTGCCTGAGTTAACCAAACTAGTTAACTCTATGAAGACCTCTGCATGCCCCCTCCACATCTTACCCTCATCTTTGTTTAAAAGTGCTTTTCAGTCCATCGGTCCCAGCGTGCTCTCTATAATTAATGCTTCTCTGGTCTCTGGTCAGGTCCCTGCTTACTTTAAGAACGCTGTAATCCACCCGCTTCTTAAAAAACCGAGTCTCGACCCCTCTCTCCACAGCAGCTTCAGACCCATCTCTAAACTTCCGTTCATCTCCAAGATCTTGGAAAAGGTTGTGGCTAAACAACTCACAGCTGCTCTTGATGAGCATAACATCTATGATAGCTTCCAGTCAGGTTTTCGTAGAGCTCATTCTACTGAAACAGCTCTTCTTAGGGTCTCTAATGACCTTCTGACTCACAGTGATGCAGGGGACTGTTCTGTTCTGGTCCTGCTGGACCTGACTGCAGCCTTTGACACTGTTGACCATCACCTGCTACTGGAGAGGCTGAGAGACTGGGTAGACCTATCAGGATCTGCTTTGGAGTGGTTCTCCTCTTATCTCTCTGAGCGCTCCTTTTCTGTGGCCGTCTCCAAGTTTAGGTCCTCCACCACCTCTCTTACCCATGGTGTCCCACAAGGTTCTGTGCTGGGGCCTCTGCTCTTCCTCCTCTATCTGCTTCCTCTTCAGCACATCCTGAGCTCCTTCAAATGAATCTCCTACCATCTTTATGCAGATGACATCCAACTGTACATCTCCTTTAAGCCCCATGAGATGTCTAAGCTGCAGCTGTTACACACCTGCTTAGACTCTATCAGAACCTGGATGGTGGGAGCTTTCTTCAGCTGAATGAAGATGAGACTGAGATCCTCATCTGTGCCCCAGACAAGCTGGTTCCCAAAGTCAGAGACTCTCTTGGTCAGCTTGCTTCTCACACCAAACCTTCTGTCAGGAATCTTGGTGTGACCTTTGACCCAGCTCTCACCCTGGATTCTCATGTCAGTTCTCTTGTTCGCTCTTCCTTCTTCCATCTCAGGAACGTTGCTAAGCTGAGTCCCATTCTGTCCCGCTCTGAACTTGAGACAGTTCTCCACACCTTCATCTCCTCACGCTTAGACTACTGTAACTCTCTTTTCACGTGTCTGAGCAGAACCTCCCTGAACCGTCTACAGGTGGTTCAGAACGCCTGTGCTCGGCTTCTGACCAAGTCCTCCAAACGCACCCACATCACCCCGCTTCTCCTCCAGCTTCACTGGCTGCCAGTCAACTTCAGGGTTCATTTCAAGATCCTGGTTCTGGTCTATAGGGCCTTACATGGACAAGCACCATCTTACATTGGTGATCTTCTTAGTCCCTACACCCCCAGCAGGTCCCTGAGGTCCAGTGATCAAAGCCTACTGGTTGTGCAGCACCAGGCTAAAGGTCAAAGGTGACAGATCATCTGCTGCTGTGGCCCCCAGACTCTGGAGCTCTCTCCCCCTGAGCCTGAGATCAGTGGACTCAGTGGTCTCCTTTAAAAAGCAGCTGAAGACTCACTTGTTCAAGCTGGCTTTTGTATGACCTTCTTCACCTCTCTCTCTTTATTCTGCTCTCCCCACCTATTCCACCTTCCTCAGGATCCACTGGTTTCCCTCTTTCCTGTTCACTCTCTCTCTTTCTTAACATTTTTTTAATCACAATTGTCTATTTTTTTGCTCATTTTAAATACATTTTTAAACATTTTCTAAATTCTTTTTTATATTTTTACATTTTTTGTTTTTGTGAAGCGCCTCGGGAATTTTATCTTGAGAGGCGCTACAGAAATGATATTTTCTTCTTCCTCTTCTTCTTCTTTTTCTTATACACACCATGCAGGACACTGAATTCAGGTTAATGGTAACTGCTCTCACATGTCTTTGCTCCATAACCAAAGCTTTCTATCTCTGAGAGGCGTGTCCTGAGGTTTGTTAAAACCTAAATTCCTCACTTCAAGTTCAGTTCGAAGCTCACCAAAATCTCTCCGTGGCACGAGAGTCCCAGAGGATCGAGACGGCCGCTCGAAGCCTCACTAAGCTGTTCTGTCACGCCGATAGAATTGCTCCAATAAACACCATCTGCAACCAGCTGACGCAAACTCCTTCAGAGTTAAGTTAAGACACAAGCTCAACACCTGTGTGCCTGAGGCAACTCTTGGACCAGAGAGTCGGTACCACTGGTCTTCCCTACCGGACCGAGTACCCAGAGGCTGACAACATCCTCCCTTGACCTCCGGATCCACAGAGGGTTGTCTGAAAGGTGAGGTAGAACACAGATTGCGTCCGTATGCTGTTCCCTTTAAGAAATAACTTAGTTAGCTGCAAAACAAACTCTTTCACCCAGAATCTCTCTCTGATAGGAACCTTCTGAGATTCCATTCACGCATCCAAACACACGCATTTCATTTTAGATCTCATCCACACACAGGTTGCTTTTAATACCAAGTTTTAATATCAAAGCCTTTATAAATTGTCATCTTTAAATTGTTAGTAATAAATTCTTAACTTTTTAAACCTGACTCTTCTTTGAAATGAAACACAGAGTGGTGTATATTTGGTTATTGAACAAGCAAAGATTTCTTTAAATCTTCTGATTTAATAAATAAACTTTTGCTATTAATTTAAATCTCTTAAATTAAATATTAATCTTTGGATTAAATATAGACCAAGCCAGTTGGTGTATGAACTTCTATCGATTATATAAATATCCGTGGATATCTTTGGAAATATAAGTTCAAACGCCAAATTGTTTGATCTTTCTCAGAATCTAACAAAGCTGAATAGCACAGCGTTAAATTCGGATTATGTAGATTATCTACGCTACAGAACACCACAGCATGGTGTATAGGAAGATCTGTGCACAGTGTGGACTGGAAGCCCCAAGATCAAAGAGGGTACGAGTGGTAGAGAAGGAACAAGTCAAGATCCTGTCAGACTTTCAGATCCAGACCGACAAAACGGTGATGGCAAACCAACCAAACCAGTCTGCTTCCGTTACTTGCCCGTGAGAGCGGATATATGAAGAGAGAGAGAGAAAGAGAGAGGTGTTATGTGAGTGCTCTTTCATGACACCAATGAACGGGTCATTCATTTATTTTACACCTTACCAGAAAACTAGTTCTAGTGAGGAGCACCAGCTGTGTGTGTGCTTCATACCAACTGCAGCCATCCCTCCTGGAGGAAGCTTCGCCTCTTTGATACAGTGACCCCTCCAGTATGCAGCCAGGATGGCCTCAGCGTGGCTAAGGGATCCATCGGCATATCCACAAGCCAGCTCTCCAACCGAGTGTCCGATGATGCCATCAGGCTGAAGACCCAGCTCGGTGAGCAGATCGATCAAGGCTAT